CCTGTTAGTGCCAAGCTGGTTTAAGATCCTGGATGACATATCTGTCAGATGCTTTGTCTTAGCATGGCTGGGAATGGTGAAAGTATTTGTTGCCAGAGATGTCTGGACAGTAGGATTACTAAAGTGGATCCATTTCCTGGTATGCAAACATTATTACAATTTTTAACATCAGGGATGTTGCACATTACCTCTAAAATTTTATTTTATAGTACATATTTATAGTACATAACATTACATTCCTTATGGGGAGTTGATACATGTACATAACAAATCCTAATTCTATTTTTTTTATCTTTTGCCCTCCATTTTTTTAAGGGAAGGGTCTACAGGGTGTTCAGGGTCTCACTACTAGATCAGACTCATAGTGATCTGCCTGTTTATAGCCTCCCAAGAGCTGGGATAACAAGGGCGTTCCACCACACCCAGTCTCGATTGTCAATTGCTGTCTCAGCACACTCTGGGGCCAGGGCAGGGCCAGCACAGCAGTCCCAGGGCTTCCATTGCCCTCCGTTCCTAATTTTGTAAAGGAGAACTGGAGATTTTTATTATAAGAGACGGTTGGTTGTATCATTTGAGAGTATTTCCTTTTTACCCATGCACAATTGTGTCTAATATTTGGCAACTTTCTCAGTTTATGATGGGTGGTTCTTTTATTTTGTTGGAAATGGGACTTCATGGGAAAGCTAGAGTTGGCATTAAAGAGGTCTCAGGCAGACTAGCTGAGAGTCCAGTTTCTGATTTTAAAGGGAAAGCTTCTAAGATTCAACTATTGAGGAAAACTTTTTTTTGTAGATAAAACAGGCTCTCTCTCCTGTTCCTACTTTAATAATCTTTAAAGAGAATATGAATAGGCCCTGAATTTTATCAAATTGTCTATTGAGATTATTCTTTTTTAATACATTATGGATTTTCTACCATGAAACTATGCTAGCATATCTATAATAAATCCAACTTGGATGTGTTCTAGTATCTTTTTAATACACAATTAAATTTAATTTGCTAATATTGAGAATTTTTACATGCACTGTATATATTTCTTTAAATGAAATAAAACTGTAATTTCTTCCATAATGTTTTTGTGTTCCTACCCTTCTTAAAAGAAAAAAAGAGAATGCCTATTGATTTGTCTTAATGAACAAGTAGAATTACAAATAACCTCTGGGAACCTAACTTAATGTAAGTTAAAGAACTTCTGAATTGGCCACAACTTTGAACTTATACTTGGTTCTCAAATTTAAGAATAGATTTTTATGTCTCATAAAAGATTTTGACCTTTTAATCAATACCTCAAATGGTTCTAACAAAGATGACCTACTGACATGCTTTGAAAAACAGCCTCTGGCAGAGAGAACTCCTGGCTTCCACTTGCTCTCATGGCAATCTAGAGTCAGAACTGAGACAGGCTCAAGTACACAAACATCTCCACCTTTTTATGGGGGATATGAACCCTATAATTCAATGTTTTCACATCTTAACTAAGCACTTCACATATAATGTGGCCATTAAGTTTTGCTGTTTAGGGTGAGACAGCAGACCTAGCATTAATTTCTTCTTCTTCACCATTTCATAGGTAGAAGATCTGTTATTACTATAGCTCTCTGCAAATTCAGCATAAGATTCTTTTTTATTATTATTATTTTAGCAAAGGATTCTTTGGATTTTGCTTTTTTACTAAATTGAGATTTTAAAGGAGTCATTTTATAGCTTCCAAACTGGCCTATCTAAATGGCCAGCCTCATTCCTCTTGTGCTTTGGGGCCAGGTATTAAGTAAAACAGGTGTTAAACATAAGCACCATCACATATGTATTCATATGTATAGCTGTACAATTACTGATAGCTAAATGTTGGAAGCAGTCTATGCACCCAAGAAAAGATAAATCGATTAAAAAATGGAGCACCGTTCTGGAGTGTTACAACGAAGTACTACTTTGCCAAAAAAGTACAATATTAAGACCTTTATAAGAAATTGGTGTATCTAGAGCTTTGGACCATAGTGTCAGGTGAAGTAAATCAGAGAAACAAACTCAAATGACACATTATTTCTCTTATACAATTAATCAAATATATATAGGATGTGCAAAATAAAAGACAGATAATAGAAATTAAAGATATGAAAAGTTACACTGGGCATGGTGGTGCATGCCTGTAACCCCAGCACTGGAAGGCTGGAAACAGGAGGATCACTATGAGCCTGAGATGCATAGTGCACAGTGAGACCCTGTACCAAATATATGGGAAAAACTAATATAAATATATATAAATATGATATTTATTGGTT